TTATATTTTTCAGCGTCAAACCTTTGCTTCTTTGCGCCAGCTTTGATTTTTTAGGTTTTCGAAAGGCTCAGACCATGGCCTTTGCCATTGATGAGATCAACAGAGACCACCCTTTTACCCAACGTGACTTTGGGGTACAGTCTCTACGACAGCTGCCTCACTCTCGGAGTTGGATTTCGTGCAGCACTGGCATTAATCAGCGGTCAAGAGGAGCACGTTGTGTTGAATGAGACCTGTGAAGGAGCCCCTCCAGTTGTGGGGCTTGTGGGAGATTCTTCCTCCACACGCACTATTGCGATCTCCACTGTCTTGGGTTTGTACCGAGTGCCGATGGTAAGTGTCCAGCTTTACCGTCTAATGACAGATTTGTTTGTATGTAAAATGTGACGACTGGAACAGCTGATTTCTCTGTGGTTTTACAAGTTTAGTGTGATTCTTTCACAGGTGAGTTATTTTGCCACATGTGCCTGTTTAAGTGACCGGCAAAGGTTTCCATCCTTCTTCAGGACAATCCCGAGTGATGCTTTCCAGGTAAAGAGAAACAATAACAAAAACAGTTTAGAATGAAAGAAAATTCAATTTTTCAAAAGTGAACAATTGTTTCCTTTGATCTTTTTATTTAAACTCAAAAGTAGAAATTGCATATGGCTGTGGAAAGGTATGTTTGTGTCTTTCTCATCTTATGAACAGTGTCAATAGATTTTCTGTTTGCTGCTCTGGAAGTCGTATGTGGTTTAGATAACGTCCAGTCTCATACTATTTTTTTTTTTTTTTTACTTATTCTGTTCTTCGGTACAACAATATAAAACATGTGCTTGTCAGAGCTCAAAGAAACATCCTTAACATTCTCAATTGTGCTAAAATAATTTTTTTAAGCTTCATCTGATGCTTTTACATAAGTAGAGAATGGACAGTAATAGTTCGACGGCATTATGCACACGAGCAATCTTTTAATTTGACCAGCGTTTTTCTCCTGATGTTAATGTTTTGAAGTGTCCAGCAGAGAAAATGTGGAGGGAGGTAAAGATGAGGTGGACAGTAAGGAGGCCTTACAACCTCAAAAACCTAAACGTCTCTGCAGAACATGAATTACCATGTAAAGAAAATCTTATGAGTACATCTGGGACAAATTTGATTGCTGTAATGATAAAAAAAAAGTCCACCCATCAACAAGTGGCATAAATAATTTTCCACAACGCATCTGCTGAGACTATTTTTAAAAAGTTGTTTTTTTGACGTCTTGAGTAGAAATCTGTCAGTTTCAATCAGAGTCAAACCTCCTGATCCAAACAAACGTAAAATAAAACAGACCAAACATCAGAGAAAAATTGATGCTAAGTGCATACTTTAAAACCTTTTGGGTCAGTTCTTTTCTTGTGTGTTTCCAGGTGCGCGCCATGCTTCAGATACTGAAACACTTTGACTGGACTTGGGCGGGTTTGCTGATAAGTGATGATGATTACGGGCTGGACGCCGCCCGCTCCTTCAACTCTGACCTGGGTGTGTCTGGAGGAGGCTGCCTGGCCTATGTAGAGATTCTGCCCTGGGAAAAAGACTTGAATGAGTTCAAGAGGATCGTGGATGTGATGAGGAAATCCACGGCCCGCGTCGTTGTTGTGTTTGCACATGAGGGTCAGATCATTAATCTCATGGAGGAGGTTGGTCCTAACATATATTTGTCCTTCCTGAACGTATAAAGTGTCAGAATCAAGCATGTTAGCAACAACATGAGACATAAAAATGACACCACTGGACATCATGTCAGTATAGAAAAAAATATTCCAGTTTGTGTGAATTAGCTGAGATGATGTTTGGTCCCTGAACAGGTCGTGAGGCAGAACCTGACAGGCCTGCAGTGGCTGGCCAGTGAAGCCTGGTCCACAGCTGCCGTGCTCCAGACCCCTGACCTCATGCCGTACCTCGGGGCACACTGGGCATCGCTGTCCGTCGAGGAGAGATAGCGGGCCTCAGGGACTTCCTGCTCCAAACACGAGCTGATCCACAACACAACAGCACCTATGGAAATAGCATGGTGACTTTTTCATCCTTTAAGTGTAGCCATGATGGGTAAATAATCCTCCTTTAAAAAAATGTCACTTTTATGTTTTCCAGGCAAACCAGTTTTGGGAATTCACATTTCAGTGTAAATTTGCACCAGCTCCATCAGGCTGGGTTGAGGACGGGGAAGGATTTGCTCTGGAGACGAGGATTTGAAGGCTGTGGAGACTGAGTTCTTAGACGTTTCTGATCTCAGGCCTGAGTACAACGTCTACAAAGCTGTGTACGCTCTGGCGTACGCCCTGGATGAGCTGCTGAGGTGTGAACCAGGAAAAGGGCCTTTCAGTGAGAAAAGCTGTGCAACATTGCAAACACTTCAACCATGGCAGGTAACGTAACATGGTTTTGACAATGAACTAAATAAATATAACGAATTTACTCAATAACCTATGAAAAGAAGGCCAGAGTTCCCTCTCTCCAGTTCTGTCCTGAGTCTTCCTGTTGGTCTGATGTGGAGGAGCAGTGGCTCAACTCAGTGCCCCACTCAGATGACGAAGCTTCTCACCCTATCTCAAAGGGAAAGCAGCCAGTCGTATCTACAAACTCTTTCCTTTGCCTCTACCTAGAGCTTGTGGCCACAGACGAGGGTGGACAGACTAGCAAGAAGACCCACCTCCACTTGGGGCTGCAATTCTTTCTGAACCCTTTAAATTCTATCCATCCATCCATTTTCTGTAAACCCTTGTCCTTAGTGGGGCTTCATCATGTCTTCATCACTTGCTAATTCGTACAACCAAACTCCCTCCACAAGGTATCTGGGCTCTTTCTTAGCGTTAGATTGATGAGCTCAAACTCCTCAGAGTAGAACCATTGTTTCTCCACATCAAAACGAATCAGTTGAAGTGACTGCATGTCACAAGTATAAAGTCCCTGACGACTTACTTTATGAGCTTATTGGTGCAATCAAATGCATCTTAAATGATTAAGCAGCTGCCCATTGAGGGCTCGGATGTAGTCAGTGAAAGGAGTCTGTCTAGCAACATCAAATATTTCTAATATTGTTTTAATAATGATGTTATGCTTTTTTTAAAGTGTGGACATAGTATTACAGATCAACTTTAAAAGTTGAACCGGTAAAATTATGTAGTCAATGTCTTTGACCTGTCGTTTTCCCTTTCCTCACTTGCCTTCCATCAGCTTGTGTATTATCTAGAGAGGGTCAATTTCACCACATCATTTGGTGACCAAGTATCATTTGATGAGAACGGCGACGCCTTACCAATATATGATGTCATGAACTGGCTCTGGCTCCCCGACGGACAAACCAAAGTTCAAAATGTCGGTGATGTAAAAGTGTCGCCTTTTAACGGAGAACAACTCACTCTTGATGGAGACAAAATCTTCTGGAACTTTCCATCAAAAAAGGTGACTCATTTTATTTGTAACTTATGAAGTGACTTTAGAGAGAAACATGTATTGACGTTTCTCCTGTAGCCACCGCGGTCGGTGTGCAGCGAGAACTGTCCTCCAGGAACCCGTGTGGTGAGACTAAAGGGGGAACCTGAGTGCTGCTTTGACTGCATCCCTTGTTCTGAGGGAATGATCAGTAATTACACCAGTGAGTTTTTGTGTTTTACTAGTTTGGTTTATGATTTTCACAGTGCAGTCTTTCTAATCCACAGTTTGACTTTGTTCCTGTCTTTCTGTCAGATTCCCTGGAGTGCTTCAGTTGTCCAGAGGACTTCTGGTCCAGCCCACAGCGAGATCTCTGTGTTCTGAGACAAACAGAGTTCCTGTCCTATCAGGAACCTCTAGGGATCTGCTTGACAGCAGCCTCACTGCTGGGCGCGTTCATCTGCGCTGTCGTTCTGGGGATCTTCATCTATCACCGCAGTACACCCATTGTACGAGCCAACAACTCAGAACTCAGTTTCAACCTGTTGCTTTCCCTCAAACTGTGCTTCCTGTGTTCGCTGCTGTTCATCGGACGACCCAGACTGTGGACATGTCAACTGAGACACGCAGCGTTTGGGATCAGCTTTGTGCTCTGCGTGTCCTGCATCCTGGTCAAAACCATGGTGGTTCTGGCTGTGTTCAAAGCCTCCAAGCCAGGAGGGGGCGCCAGTCTCAAGTGGTTCGGTGCTTCACAGCAGAGAGGAACTGTTCTGGTTCTCACCTCTGTTCAGGCAGCAATCTGCACTGCCTGGCTTGTGTCTGCTTCTCCTTCTCCACATAAAAACACCAAATACCACAACGATAAGATAGTTTATGAGTGTATTGTTGGCTCCACTATTGGTTTCTCTGTGTTACTGGGATACATCGGTGTATTGGCTGTTCTCAGCTTTGTGTTGGCGTTCATGGCGAGGAATCTGCCCGACAACTTTAACGAGGCCAAACTCATCACCTTCAGCATGCTGATCTTCTGCGCCGTGTGGGTGGCCTTTGTTCCCGCGTATGTCAGCTCACCGGGCAAATACGCAGACGCAGTGGAGGTGTTCGCCATCCTGGCCTCCAGTTTTGGCCTCTTGGTGGCGCTGTTTGGACCCAAATGTTACATAATTCTGCTGAGACCAGAAAGGAATACAAAGAAAGCTCTCATGGGAAGAGGAGTGGAACAATAAAATAATAGTTTGTCAAAGTTTAGGTATAGACCGTCAACGTTCTATTCCATTTTGGTACGGCGCAACAAAACCTTAACTAGATCTTGTTTAATGCTTCCCACAGCAACAAATTCTGGTAACATCTTCACATCAACTCCGCTCAGCATACAAAAAAGTATATGATGCTGCCAGCACTGTGTTTGACACGGCCGTGCAAGCATTCACATGGTCGTCTCATCTCATCTGTACAACATCTTTGCATGTGACTTGCTGCAGACTGAACTCCATCTGTCAGTAGCCTGAACTGTGGAAAACTTCGGAGAATTGCGTTATAGACACCCAGAAGCTACTTTGTGATAACAAATTTGAATGCAAAATTGTCTTCTGTGAATAAAGATTTGATTGTTTAATCTCTGTATTGTAAGTTCTTCGACAAACTGCAGTAATTTACATTCCACAATGAAACAAAATCAAACAAGCCAGCACGACTGAAGCAAAATCTTCAAATAGCATAGAACATCTTTAAACCGGTATAAATGAAACATAATTGTAATAATCATGCCTCTTTAGCAAATTAGCAAAACATTTTTGACATAAAAAAGTTTTCCTTTTAGCACAACAGAAGTGAAATCTTTAAAAAGCACAGAACATGCATGTATCATTACACGGTTATTACAAATCAGACATATTGCATTAACACAATTGTCAAAAATTACCTGTAAAAGTTAGAATGAATGTTAAGGTCTGCACTGGTCCAATTATTCTGTGTAAGGAGAGAAAGAACCCTATTGACCTTTTTGAAAGCACTTTTGGTGTCTGACCAGCAGATGGCAGCAGAGGACTTTAAATTGATCAGAGAGTAAAAGTCAAGTTCCTGATCTGCTTGTCAGAAGTCTGGCTCTTTACACTACTGAAATGCAAATAATTTGGTCATTAGTTTACAAATTTTAAATAAAGAAATCAATGTGGATGCTGTAGCATCAAAATCTAAGAGAATTGTCAATAAGATACTGACCAATGACATGTGGTCATGTGTAAAAGTTCTAATTAGCATGCTTTTATCCTCCCCTTTGACTCTTAGCAAAAACATTTTAACATAAAAATATGTATTCAAAGGCACACATACTTAAACTGAATGAATCAAAACATATTTTTATTAAATTACGATAATTTATTACAGGTCTTCAAACATTCTGCGCCACATCTGGAAAAACAAAACCTTTTAAATGACACAATAGAGCATAAACAACTTATAAAACAAAGTTTTATAAGTAAACTTTTTTATTTTAAGCTTTTTAAGAAAAAAAAACATACTTCTTTAGAACAAATCTACAAAATATAAAATTGCATTTGAAATGACTATCTTGCCATCAAATGCTTCTTGGTGTTTTTCTCTGGCCTCATAAGGATGATGAAACACTTTGGAGCAAAGATGCAGAACAGCAAACCGTAACTCGAGGCCAGGATGGCAAAAATCTCCACGGCCACCGCGTATTTTCCAGGCGAACTCACGTAAGCGGGGACAAACGCCACCCAGACGGCGCAGAAAATCAGCATGCTGAAGGTGATCAGCTTGGCCTCGTTGAAGTTGTCGGGGAGCTTCCTGGCGAGAAAGGCCAGAAGGAGGCTGGTGCAGCCCAGGAGGCCGATGTAGCCCAGCACCAGAGAGAAACCCGCCACGGAGGCCATGGCGCACTCCAGGGTCACCTGCAGACCCGGGATCTTCAAGTTGGGTCGAGGCTCTGGGGGGCTCAGTGACAGCCAAATAATGCAGATGACAACCTAGAAAAAGAAAAAGAAAAGGGAAACATGGCAATGACGTTGTTACTGTAGATTTAAGCAGAATAAAAATAGCCTTTATTTTTCCGCGTGGGGGAAGTTGAGGCTTGAAGTGTTAAAAACAAAATCAATAATAATAATAATATTAAGACATTGTACAATTCTTTTGCACTCAGAAGTAAAAGAAGAAAAAACTCAAATAAGAAAACCACAATAAATCATTTGAAAACTTTCCTCACCTTGAAGGTAAATATTTTGGTAAATACTAAGTGGAATGTTAATAAATACTTCTGTGTAACCAATGTTTTGCACAATGTGTATTTTCTTCCCTATCTTTCTCTTGCACATGTAGAGAAAGTTTTGAAATGATGATGAGATGATGAGAACTGATGATGAGAACTTTGTTCTCATCATCAGGGTCTGAACTCAAAGCGCTTCAGTGAACGGCATCCTGGGTAAAAGCAATGTTGAAAAAAAAGCATGCTACCTGTACGGATGTGAAGAGGCAGACACTTCCTCTCTGCTGTCCTGGACCGAACCACCTCATGAGGGCTTCGGCGCCGGGCCGGGCCGAGCGGAACGCGGCCAGGACCACAATTGTCTTGACTTGAAGGCAAGAGATGCAGAGGACGAAGCTGATCCCGAAGGCCGCCTGCTGGAACCGGCACGACCACGCCGAGGGCCGGCCGATGAAAACCAGCGAGCACAGAAAGCAGAGCTTCAGCGACAGGAGAAGCAGAAAGCTGAGCTCCGAGTTGTTGGCTCGTACCTGTGAAAACACGACAAACTTGAACGGTTTCGCTTTCCAAATGTAAAACGTCAAAACGTCGAACGCGGGCGTCCGTCGGCTCACCATCGGCGTCTGGCGGTAGTAAAGGAACACCACGAGCACAGCAGTGGTCATCGTGACACCGGAAACAGCCGCTGCTGTGAGGGTGATGCCCAAAGTTTCATCGAAGGAAAGGAAGTCCAGCTGGCGAGGGATGCAGGCGGTGTGCTCGGCGTTGGACCAGAACTCAGACGGGCAACGATCGCACTGAGTGGAACCTGGACGCAGAAGAGAAAGATAGAAACAGACGAGAACGCCTCTGAAGACACGGTAGAAAGACTGAAATGGGCTTTCCTTTGAGACCTGCCATCCTCACCAGTTGTGTTGCTAATCTGTCCATCAGCACATGGAAAGCAGTCAAAACAGCAGATGGGTTCCCCTTTCCTGGTGGCCATCCGTGTACCAGGAGGACAACTCTCACTGCAGACGGAAATGGGCACCTGAAGGAGGTTTAACAGCTCGTCAGTCTGAAGAGTAAACACAAAACAACTGCAGAAAACCCACAAAACGGATTCATTCGGAGTACCTGACTGGACCCTGTGCTCCACTGGATGGCAGACTCGTTAAGGTGGAGGTCAAAGCCGTCCACACGACCAATCAAAACAAGGTCGACCTCTCCCTCGGGGCCGCTCTGCCAGTTCAAGAGGTCATACTTCGCCGTGACGTCGGCACCTTGGAAATAAAACGCTTCGCCCTGCGGGGTGGTGAAGTTCACTTTGCTGAGGTGCTCCATCAGCTGAAGGCCAAGAAGTGGGAAGGAAAAATTACTGCAGCATTATTGTTTCTGCAACTGCTGCTCGGTGTTCTGTAAAAACAATACATCTTCACGTTTTTAGAGCTAGAAATTCGTAAGTTCAAGGAGTATGAAATAAGGAAAAGCTTGTGAGCTCCTTGGCAGTAAACAGATGAAAGGGATGCGTTTCTTCGCAACCACAGAAAAAGAGTCGCTCCATTGTAAACGATTTTTATCCCAGTAGAATGAAGCAATCACAGTCTCAGAAGAAGAACCGATCAAAAGCTGAGGGATGACAACACAGCACATTGTACGCTAACGCTCTTACGGTCAGCTAGAGCAACTCTCAAGTCAAGCTAGAAAAAACTTTGTTTTCAGTGTTGCAGATACATTTTGTTGTAGCTGCATCACTGATCACAGTGATTGAAGCAAATAGTTTGCAGGTATAAGTTGTTTAGCTTCCCATCTGTTCTGATAAAAATGACTCACAAGTCATTTGAGAACCAAATGACTTGTGAGAAAACGGACAGTGTCCTCAAAATATTGTTTCGATAGTGGAATTACTTCAGTGTATCTGCAGCTCACCCACCCACACACACACACACACACACACACACACACACACACACACACACACACACACACACACACACACACACACACACACACACACACACACACACACACACAAACCAAAACCTGGATTTCATGGTGAAATGTGAGACATTTGTGTTCTGGTGTTTTTTGAATTTTTGCCGCCCAATGACATCAGAATAACATTCTTACAAGGAACCAAAGCAGAAATTTCTGGGACTTTATTGTTCGAAATGTTTATTGATTAATTCATTCACTTAAAGGAAGCAGAATGCTTTTAAAGCCCTCGATAAGGTGTCGGTTTGTTAGGTCTTCAATTTATACCCCTCAGACATCAGCTGCATTCTCATGTTCAACCACATGCGGACGCAGTGGTTGAACAGCTCAATTCAGAATTAGGTTCTCAGCTGCCCTCTAGTTCACTTTTCTTTCTCTTTTCTTTCAATATAATTATTGATTTTGCAAAGATTCTGCTCTCCTGTATCACAACTCGGGAAGGAAAATTTGAAAAAAAAAAGAAAAAAAGATTGAAATATGAGGTGCAAATCTAAATCTGAAACATGCATGAATGTCTTTACCTCCCTGGGTTTGATTTGAGCGTGAAGCGAGCAGGCGGCGTTTCGTCCTGGAGGGGGGCAGGAGAGCAGGGAGTGAAGGCCGTGGGCTGCAGCGTAGACCGCGAGGTAGACGTTGTACGTCACCCGCAGCTGGGAGGCGTCAGTGAAAAGGTTTTCCACGTCCCACAGGCTCTCTGTGCCATTGCAGGGTGGAAGAGAAGAAGACGACGGAGCTGCCGCAGTCCCAGGACTGCATCCGAATTCCTTTTCCCAAAATTCCTTTAGGAACTGGTCGTTCGGGCGAAGCGACGGCTTTAAACCCCGAACAAAAGTCCCAAACCCAGGCAGGGGGGAGCTCCGGATGGCAATGCCGAGGACGCCTCTCGCCACTTTACGTGAGAAGGTGCTTTGCTGAAGATCCCTGCTGGTGCTCCAAGCCTCACTTGCCAGGAATTGTCTGTCAGTCACCTAGAAATAGCAACCAAAAAAAAAATGTCCTAAAGAAGGCAATAAAAGCCTTCTTCTGGAGCTTTTCATTTCTGTTTCTTACATTGAGCTTCTCCAGTTGTAGGAACAGCTCCATCACGTCCGTGTACCAGGTGAAGATCAGAATCACCTTGGCAGTGGAGGCCTGGATGGTGAGCGCCGCCCGTCTGGCGTCGCTCTCAATGTTTTCTCTCTGGAGGGTCTCCACGAAGGAGAGGCAAACCGCGGCCCCCCGAATCTCCTCCTCAAAGACCTGACTCAGAGCGCAAATGAGAAGGTTGGAAAGGAATGAATCGGGGCTGTTAGACAGAAACAAGTAATCCAACAGGAATATTATCGTCAAATGTTGGAATCACAGCGTCGCCTATGAAAATCCAGAATCTTTTCTCTTCTTCTTTGGTTTTTGGGATGTTTGAGCTTCAACAATTTGGCTAAATGTGTAGTTGACACGTCAGTTCTTGATATCTTGAATTTAAAAGCATACAAATCAAACCTTTGCTAAATATTAATTAGCAAAAAAAGATGCTCAAAGTCTGCATTTTTGAAAAAAAATAGTAATAAAAATTTAAAAAAATGTTTAATGGAACAACCTTCACTGCCATAAGGCCATAGTCATTGTTGGCCACCACTGCTCCAACCCAGGTCCAATTAAACTTCATAGCCAGCCGAGCAATTGCACGAGCTTGAAAGATATCACTGGCCATGGTTCTGAAGAAATTAGGATATTGCCGCCTGTCACTTAAACTTGGAGAACTTGCTGTGTAGCTCACCTAAAGGGAGAAAAAAGCAACGTGCATTTACTACAAAATCTGAACATATAATCTGAATCGTAGAGCATATAAACTGTGAGAAATACCGGGGAACTCACTAGAGGAACAGAAAGTGGTCCCAGGAGTCTGGACAGTATCTGGGCTGTTATGGACGAGGAGCCACCAATGATCAGAGGCACACGCCGTTCACCTAATGACATTACAAAGTAAGCTGCATGTAATTTTTTTTTATTATTATTATTTGCAAAAGCATACAGTCTAATTCTGCACAACACAAGTCAAGACAATCACCCGCTCCGACTTCTGTTCCCTCCTGATCCGAGTTACAGCTCGGCGCGTCTCCGCCGACCAACGAGAGCGCAGCCTGCATCTCCCAAGCAGGGAGGGCACAGCCGTCATGGATATGGTGACCCAGCTTCACGCCCGGCAGCAAGGCGGAGCTGTGGTTGATTTCCTCCAGAGCGAACACCATCGCATAGATGTACTGCAGTGGCAGGTTTAGCAAACTGCAGGGAAGCAGGAGAGGGGAGGTCACACAAAAATAACGAAAGTTCAAATCAAATGCAAAAGCGTCAGCAAACTTGTAACTTTGAAAGCATTAATATCCCATTAAACTTCTTTTTTTTTCTTCCATTTTTAAGTTTTCCAAACCAATTCATGGACAAAGCAAATGTTTCAGAATGGATCTAAATACAGGAAGAAAACCTGCTAGTGATCACACAAAATTGGAAATTTACCAATGAGGATTTCCACAATAAAATTGCTTAGATTGAAGCATTTTTATGGTACAGAAGGATTCTGGGAAAAGATAAAAAAATTGACCTATGCCGACTCCCTCCAAAACCAGGCATCAGTTCTTGTTTCTGACTCGCTACTTTTTAGTCCTGGAAGATAAAATCCAAGAACGACAAACTGAACCTGACGGTTGTCGTGTGATGAGCATTTGAAAGAAAAAAAATGGAGTTCAAGTGAATTAATAGTTTTGCAAAAACCCTGTAAAAAAACAAAAAAACAAAACAAAAAAAAAACAACTGATAACACACTAAATGTGATAAACAGAAACAAAATAGGCATGTGAAAAGTTAAAAAAAGTTACTTCCTGAGTCTTACCCAGTGCAGGGCTTGTTGTCTGGCTCCAGAGTGAACCTCTGGTCCTTGACAGGAGGCATGTAGTGAAGGTTAAAGAGCCCGCCGATGATTACATCCCCGTCCTCAAACAACCCGCTGCCGCTGGGTGTCCCCCACCGGGAGCAGGTCAGCGTCTGAGCCGGCTGCCTGCCCACCAGCCAGAGAGCAAAGAGCTGGGCCAGCAGGGACATGGTGGATGGTCCAGGTCTGGGTTAGGGTTACCCTAACTGGAAAACACCTCCTAGAACACGTTCACAGAACAGAACGTCTTGGGGGAGAAAAAAAAAACCCCTGCATCATGTTTAAAATCTTTAAACGACACGAACGAGTCGAAGTCTCCATCTAAACCGATTGAATGTCTGACTAAGAAAGTACCAGCAAAGCTGTGTTGAGTCATGTAAGCACAGCCTCGCCCTCCTGCTCTGCAGCAGAGCTGATGTTCTAAATACTTATGAGTGGAGCTCAGAGTGAACAAGATGACGCTTCACCAAATTATCTCTCTCAAAGGTAAAGGCAGAGCAGTGATGGGAGTGACTGAGGTGTGACATGGTGAAGATCCAAAAAATAAAAGATGAAATAAATAATACATAAAAACAGTTTACCATGTACTATTGGAAAAGTTTAATTGAAGGATAAATAGGGAAAACTAACACTTAAAATAAAAAGGTCAAAAACATTTTTTTTTTTATGTGCATCTTTATCTGTTTATTTCTAAACTGAAATACCAACAAACACTTTTCCAGTCTTGTGCTTTGTGTTGGAACTATTTTTCTAAAATCCAGCACATGCAAATCCTCAGGGCGGCAATTAGCATTTTAGATCTTAAAAGAGTCGAATGGGTTCTTGGCAGAGTCAAAAATATTGCATTAGAGACATTTTTCTTGTTTGTTTGTTTGACTCAGAACTTTTAGCTCACTTTTTAGTGCAACCTCTTCAGAGACATTTGACTAGGCCACTCCAAAACATTTTTGTCTTAACTGAATATTTGTTTTTTTGTTCTGAAAAGTTTTGTAGCAATTTCCAAAAGATTTTGTGGAGCTGATGGTGTGCAATAAACAATTACATGACATAAGTTACCCTTTCCCAATTAATGAACATATTTTCGTAGAAATATGAGCAACATCATCCTACTCCAAAAGGTTATTTACTCATTTTAATGGGTTTCTCTTCCTCATCCTCATCTTCAACAAGTGTAAGAATCATGACGGCTCCAGGGACTTAATATCCGGAGAACAAAACTCTTTTGTAAACCTCAGTGTGACAGAAGGTGACAGAGCAAAGTCAAACCGCTAAAGTTCTTCTTCCGCTCGTGATTCAGATGACGTGAAGTGTTGCCTCCTCCGTCGGAAGCAATGGTTGTTGTCAGTTTTTGCCATCTGTTTACCATTTCGGCCGTTCCAGCTTAGCTTGTAGGAAATGCTCTCCGTCCTGCACCTTTCTGGAGCAGCTGCAGATACAGTAGTGGTCCGACCATCTGTTCGGAGACGAATGCAGGTAGTTTGATGAGTTTGGCATCCATCACCCACTGCAAGGCAGCCTGGGAGAGGTCAGTGGCACCGGTCAGCAACTAATCTCGTTCAAACATCCATTTCATCCAGTTGTGTCATTCACATAAGCCAATGGATGTGCCATAAGACTACATTCTATTTCAAATTTTGATGTTCTTCTTTTATTAAAGTTAAAAATGAGAATATCTGTGCCATTTGGGATATATATTTTACCATTAAATCAAGTAAACTCAATAATCTTTGCATGTTTCCGATGAAAAAAAGTTAAACGCCGACTGATACTGTGTTCAGTTTCACGTGGGCAGAAAGTGGCGCAGAGCCGCAGGTGTGCAAATCATAATCCTAATTGTCGTTCATTTCACACACAATTACATCCAATTACGCAATTACAGCGAGGCGGCACATAGGGGAAAAACAAGTGGCGCGTGTTTGCTTTGTTGGTTTTACGGTCTGTGGACAGGTGACTTGAACATTTAACAAATATGGTGTTGCAAAAAAAACAACAACAACTAACTTTTGTGCAACCCCCGCAAGGCCTGAAGAATGCTCTCTACTGATCTGTCTGTCATGTGTCATAACTGGAGGAGTGGAGAAATTACATGACAAGATGAGTTGATAAATTGAAAGTCTCATTCTCAAACTCCCATATCTGAACTGCTGCAGCTCTGGCTGAACAATATGCTGACCAACACAGCCTGGCTGTGTTGGTCAGCATATTCTCCAAGGTTTTGTTAAGGCAGAGAGAGTCCAACTAGTGCTACGTTTAATGGGAAACCATTCAAATTTTTTAACAACTCTGATGGACACTGAGCAGCTATTTCCCCTGCCAGTTTCATACACATTTCCCTCGTGAATAGTGAATTTACGGCCTCTTGCTCTTCACCTGGAGAAAAAGTTAACGAGTAATTTTATCTGAGCGGGGTTTTTTGATGATCATTTTCAGTTTATTTTGGGGGGTTTTTTCCCCACATTTTTAGTTTTAAAAATGATGAAATGTGCTGCACTGGCTTTGCATGATGGAGTCAGCTGTTGATAAAAGCAGCTGACTTTTGCCTCAACTCTCCAGGGGTCAGCAATTGAAGCAATGTGTTGAAAATTGCAAATTATCAGTGTAAGCTTGAAACACTCCACTATTTACAACTTATCCGATAAGTCGTAAAATGACGTCTGAATGGTTAACACATAAATAAATTAACTCGTGCCTAAAACTGTTTTCATCTAATTTTAAAGAAAACTGCTTAGCAAAAGAGAAAATACACAGTGTGTTCAAACCAATTATTTCTATCTTTTATTGCATTGATAGGAAAAATCCTCACAGTTCCGCAGTGAGCAACAATACAAAGAACAAAAAAAAAAAAAAAGAGTGTGGCGTAATACTGGAACTTCTCTCTACAGAAAAACCAACAGCATTGTTGTCTTCATTTCCTTCGTCTGACTCTTTATCCATCGTTTCAGTCACTCGGGCCGTCAAGTTGTACAAAACAAAATAACCAGGAAGAACAAGAGTATTTTCACTGTCTGTATCAAAGCAATTATAAAAATAAAAACCTTTAAATTCCAATTCTCCTAATTTTCTTCTCTTTTTTTGCCATCAAATTCTACAGGTTGTCGAGAGTAAACAAGTCCAAGTACAGAAGTTAAATGAACTGTATTGCACTTTAATACAAACATGCCTGCAACCTCTGTTTGCTCTGTGCAAATGTGTTTGGGTAATCCAACATCTATTGTATAAACTAGTGCATAGTCATGCTTGACATGTTCACATGTAACATGCACAAACATACATGTGAAGTTCAAAGTGGTTCTCTGCTAAAAGCGACCTCAAATGAAAAGTCCTATCAAGGGCATTTATAAATGACACAGTTAAGGAAGTTCCACAGTTAAGGAAGACTTACATTTGATAGACGAAAAGATGAACCCCACCTATTAAAAGTAGCCGCTTCGTTATCTACACATTCAAAGGATGCGAAGAAAGAGATTATTTCTCTGCTTTTACTTTTTCTTTTTTGCTTCATTGTCATTGTACAAACGTTGGACGGTACAACACAAGGACAAAGATTATAAGATTCTGTACAATCTGTTCAGGAAGCCATTTGAAGGGAGCCAAAGTCCCCAAGTACATTTACACATTAGGGAGAATATAGACAATACACAGCCAACAACATCATTCTTGACAGGAAAGTGGACATTTCATACAGGTGGACATTTCATGCGTTCAGGTCCAACCGTGGGATAATATGCAACATTTCACTATTAACATTGTAGACTATTAACAGCCCAGACGTGTCAATAAAACAAGTGCAATATTTCATTTTACTGGTCTTCTGGCTTTTGGTATAACTGAATCTAAAGAAGGTTAAGTACTTTGTCCTTCGTTCCAGGTCATGGTACAGTCACACCTACAACCTGAGTAGAAAGTAGACTTCAGGTTCAGATTCGGAATGAGAAGTGACACCAAGTGAGAGAGAGTCGTCTGTGTAGTACCGATCTCTGAAGTGGTCCACGTTGCCGTAACGTACCGACGTGCAGGCTCCTTCGGGGAGTCCTCTGTCCTCCAGCTCATCCAGGTAGCCTGCTATGTAGGAGCCGGTGGAGTGTCTGTTAGGTGGTTGATTCTGCAGGGATGGTTTGTTCCTCCATACTACTCCACCAAAGCTGTCACTGTTACTGATCGCCACCCCCGGCCGAGCCTTGAGGGCCTCTTGTTGTCTCTCGCGGGCACGGCTGTTGATGTGGCGCACTCGGCTTTGGCTTCGCGAAGACAGGCGTCGGGCAAGCATCGGAGGAGGGGAATCGTCCGTGTCTCTGGAAACAATTGGAGACACACTTGCTTCTTGGGGTTGTGCCGGTTGGATTTTCGCTTCTTGTTGCAACTGAGTCGACTGTGGTCGTTCTTTGAGACCATCATCTAACTCTAAGCTAACCAGCCTGCGTAGCTGTTCTGTAAGTGGATCGCTAGACTTTGTGTGAAAAGAGTGTTTGCCTGTTGTGTCTGGAGGCTTTGGCCTTGTTGTGAAAGGAGTGATGAAACTGCGGCTAATTATGTTGTATTTGCTTTGAAAGTTGCAAGAAATGTCTTCAGAGGTCAGGTCCCCGAGAGACTTAGACTTGCAGGGCTTTCGGGATGTGGAGTCAGTGATAGGCAGTGAAGACTGTAGATAAGCTAATGAAGGACCTGAATTTGATTGCATTGAGTCTCTGACTTTGGACGATTGGTTTTGTCTGCTATGAATGAGGTTGGTCTTGTATTTTCCAGTCTGTAAAAACTGTGTTTGACCTTGGCTATGTAGTTGGACGTTTTGAGAAGTTTTAGACTCTAATGAGGGCATAATGCAACGATGGTCGAGATGGCTATGCAATGCTTTACATTCAGAAGAAGGAGAGCATAGGGCTCGATGTCTGGACCTGCTCTGAGAGACAGAACATTGTCGCAGAAGACTTTCAGCAGAGGAAAAACCATTGTGGAAACCTACACTCTCTGATGTAATTTGATTGTTTTCTGGTCTTTGTTGATGAGACCCGTTAAAGAGCAGCGTCGGACTACACCTCCGTAAGTCGGGCATTTGGCTGTTGTTAAGTAAGTCAGAGTTGCCCTTAGGTATGGGGTAGATGTTCTGACGAAGAGCACTGGGGTTTAAGAGTCTGGAGCTGATATAACTCTGACCTAGTGGAAGTTGTTGATGGTG